CCGGCCAACCGAAGCAGGCAAAAAAGTTTGACATGGGCAGCTTCAAATTCGGCTTCGGAAGAGGCAAGGTTGATCCTGCAACATTAGGACCCCGTATAATCCACCTCAATAACCCTCCCGCCAACAGCGCAAACAAGTACGCCAACAATTACATATCGACGACCAAGTACAACGCCGTAACCTTCCTGCCGAAGTTCCTCTTCGAGCAATTCTCCAAGTTCGCCAACATATTCTTCTTGTTCACCGCAGGCTTACAGCAGATCCCAAACCTCTCACCTACCAACAAATACACCACCATCGGACCTCTCATTGTCGTGTTGTTAGTCTCGGCGGGTAAAGAACTTGTGGAGGATTACCGGAGAAGACAAGGCGACAAGGCTCTCAACAACTCCAAAGCTCGTGTGCTGAGGGGCTCGTCATTCGAGGAGACGAAATGGATCAACGTTTCCGTGGGCGATATAATCCGCGTCGAATCCGAAGAGCCCTTTCCCGCCGATCTGGTGCTCCTGGCATCGTCTGAACCTGAGGGGTTGTGCTATGTCGAGACGGCGAATCTGGACGGAGAGACGAACCTGAAGATCAAACAAGCAATACCGGAGACATCGACCATGGTCAGTTCCAGCGAGCTCAGTCGGCTCGGTGGAAGGGTACGGTCGGAGCAACCAAACAGCAGCTTGTACACGTACGAAGCTACGCTGACTATGCAAGCCGGCGGTGGAGAGAAGGAGTTGCCCTTAACCCCTGAGCAGCTCCTCCTGCGTGGCGCAACTCTTCGGAACACCCCCTGGATCCATGGAGTGGTCGTCTTTACCGGTCACGAAACGAAGCTTATGCGAAATGCCACCGCCGCTCCTATCAAGCGCACCAAGGTGGAGAGGCAGTTGAACATGCTCGTGTTGGTCTTGGTTGGCATTCTTCTCGTTCTTAGCATCATATGTACAGTTGGAGATCTCATCTCACGAAAGGTCAAGGGACACAGCTTGGACTACCTTGAACTGGGACCGACAAACACAGCCGGTGAGGTCGCCAAGACCTTCCTCAAGGACATGGTCACGTACTGGGTCTTGTTCTCGGCTCTGGTGCCCATCTCGCTCTTCGTTACGCTGGAACTGGTCAAGTATTGGCACGGTATTCTTATCAACGACGACCTCGACATATACTACGACAAGACGGACACCCCCGCTAATTGCCGTACATCAAGCTTGGTGGAAGAGCTGGGGATGGTGGAATACATCTTCTCGGACAAGACAGGAACTCTTACCTGCAACATGATGGAGTTCAAGGAATGTTCGGTTGCGGGTATAATGTATGCTGACGACGTCGCCGAAGATCGTCGCGCGACGGTCCAGGATGGCGTCGAGGTTGGTGTCCACGAGTTCTCGCAGCTGCGACAGAACCTCAAGACGCACGAGTCAGCTCCGGCGATCCACCACTTTCTTGCCTTGCTGGCGACGTGCCACACTGTTATCCCGGAGATGGCCGAAGGCAAAGGAGGGAAGATCAAGTACCAAGCGGCTTCGCCTGATGAAGGAGCGCTGGTGCAGGGAGCGCTGGATCTGGGATATAAGTTCACGGCTCGCAAGCCCAGGTCAGTTATCATCGAGGTCGAGGGCAAACAGCTGGAATACACGCTCCTTGCCGTCCTGGAGTTCAACTCCACTCGTAAGAGGATGTCCGCCATTTTCCGCTGCCCCGACGGAAAGATCCGTTGCTATTGTAAGGGAGCCGACACGGTCATCTTGGAGAGGCTGAATGAGAACAACCCCCATGTTGAGGCGACCCTGCGACACTTGGAGGATTACGCTTCTGAGGGTCTCCGGACACTTTGTCTCGCGATGCGTGAAATCCCGGATCGAGAGTTTGATGAGTGGTACCAGGTGTTTGACAAGGCGCAAACCACCGTCGGAGGTAATCGCTCAGACGAAATTGACAAGGCGGCCGAACTCATCGAGCACGACTTGTATCTCCTCGGTGCCACAGCTATCGAAGACAAGCTGCAGGACGGTGTCCCGGAGACGATTCACACTCTGCAACAGGCCGGTATCAAGGTCTGGGTTCTGACAGGCGACAGACAGGAAACCGCCATCAACATCGGCATGAGCTGTAAGCTTCTCAGCGAGGACATGATGCTGTTGATCGTCAACGAGGAGACGCCAGCCGCAACGCGCGACAACATTCAGAAGAAGCTCGACGCAATCCGCACCCAGGGTGACGGCACGATCGAAACGGACTCGCTAGCCCTGGTCATCGATGGCAAGTCCCTGACGTACGCCCTCGAGAAGGATCTGGAGAAGCTCTTCCTTGATCTTGCCGTAATGTGCAAGGCGGTCATCTGCTGCCGTGTCTCGCCACTGCAGAAGGCCCTGGTTGTGAAGCTGGTCAAGAAGTACAAGAAGGACGCGATCTCGCTCGCTATCGGCGACGGCGCGAACGATGTCTCGATGATTCAGGCAGCGCATATCGGCGTCGGTATCAGCGGTGTCGAAGGCCTGCAGGCGGCCAGAAGCGCTGATGTGGCGATTGCACAGTTCCGCTTCTTGCGGAAGCTGTTGCTCGTCCACGGCGCATGGAGCTACCATCGTGTTAGCAAGACGATTTTGTACTCCTTTTACAAGAACATTACTCTGTATCTGACACAGTTTTGGGTAAGTTTTCTCTCATCACGTGGCGGGCTCCGATAGTCCTCGACTTGGCTAACCGGATACAGTACACCTTCCAAAACGTCTTCTCCGGAGAAGTCATCTACGAGTCCTGGACGCTCTCCTTCTACAACGTGTTCTACACCGTTCTCCCGCCCCTCGCCATGGGCATTCTCGATCAGTTCATCTCTGCCCGTTTGCTCGACCGGTACCCCCAGCTGTACAGCATCGGCCAGATCAATACCTTCTTCCGCGTCAAGACCTTTGCGTCCTGGATCATCACGGCCGCGTACCACTCGATCATCCTGTACATTGGCGGTGAGCTCTTCTGGTTGGGAGACCAGATCCAAAGCGATGGCCAGATAGCCGGCCACTGGGTCTGGGGCACAGCCATGTACGGCGCCGTCCTACTCACGGTCCTTGGCAAGGCGGCCCTGGTGACGAATAACTGGACCAAGTATCATGTCATCGCCATTCCCGGCAGCATGGCCATCTGGTATGTGTTCGTGGCCGCCTACGCCACCGTCGCGCCGATGATTGGTGTCTCCACCGAGTACCACGGGCTGGTGCCGCGGCTGTTTACGAGCCCCGTCTTCTGGCTGCAGACGTTCTGTCTTGCCATCTTGGCGCTGCTCCGCGACTTCACGTGGAAGTACGTCAAGAGGATGTACTACCCGCAGACGTACCATCACATCCAGGAGATACAGAAGTACAATATCCAGGATTACAGGCCACGGTATGTCACCCTCGCACCCTGTCTACCCCGTCTGTTTTGGAACTGATTACTGACATATTTCGCCCTTAGCATGGAACAATTCCAAAAGGCCATCCGCAAGGTCCGGCAGGTCCAGCGCATGCGCAAGCAGCGCGGTTACGCCTTCTCGCAGGCCGACGAGTCGCAGACGAGGGTGCTCCAGGCGTACGATACCACCCAGCACCGCGGCCGGTACGGCGAGATGGCGAGTTCGAGGCCGAATCCCCAGCAAGGAGGGAGGATATGACCTTCCCGTGTAGGGGGGAATTTGTCGGGAAACAGACAAAGGAGCGAAACGGAAGGGGGTGTGGTGTGCCGGGGCCAGGTTGGAGTGGTCTTTTGCGGAGCGACACAATTTTTCTGATACCAATGTCAAGATTACTGCGTCTGTTTGTATCGGCCGAAACTTTTGTTCTACTCCAGTTTCACTTTTTTTGCCCACCTACCATTTTTGATCTTCTTACGTGTTATGGGGTCTATGGGTTTGTCTTCCTCGTTTACCGCAAAAAAAGGGGGTTTTTGGTTTTTAAGGGGAAATGGGCGCTTATTCATCTCTCTCTTGTGCCGGTTTTTCGTAGTCTCGATATTATGCCATACACACCCCAACCCCCCGTGACTGGGACGGAAAGCCAGATTTGTACCATAGTAACCCTCACCTGCCATATTGCGATATTGCAAAGGACAGGAGAAAACGAAGTATTGCCCGGTGGTTATACAATTGCCTTGTATGTCTCCTCGTGCGACCTCCGATACCGTGCCGACCCGACAACACCCAGGTGCAGTTTCGACGTGACTAGCGATTAGCAAGCAAGCTATTCAGGGCAGGGAAAGACAGGCGTCGTCATGGATTACCTATCCCTGGGTCGATTAGAAATGGAGATTTGAAACCGAGGATGGGGTCAGCTGCATAGGCGGATCCTGATTAGGCGACCAAACAAACAAGATGCTCGCTCCCCTCTCCAGCCTTTTGTGATTCCATCTTCTCACCCGCAAGGTTCCGCCTGACTCCTAACCACGATGGCAGGTAGTTCCGCCGAGGAGCTCTGGCGGTTCGGAGGAAAAGCTACGGGGGGATCATCGGCGCTAGCGGGTTAGTCTCGATCTCCGATCTGAACGGCGGTCTTCCCGTCTTGTGTGGCTTTTTTTGTCGATCCCTTCGTTATGCTTTTTTTTCTTTTTCGTCATGACTCTCTGATGCTTGCAGACACGGACAAGTACTATTCATGTACCGGGTGGGAAGCTTAGAGCAAGTTTGCAGGAACCTGCCGGAAGTAACCGTGCTACTGGCTGAAGGCACGATAACGTATTCAGGAGAATCCTTGGCAGTGGAGAGTCGTGTTTGAATGACGGCAGGTGATGGGACTTGCAGTCCTGTATCTTGCCGATCCAGATACGCGATAGTGAAGTGCCATTGATCCTGCTTTCTAGCCTTGAGGATCTGCTGATCCGTTATGCCTATCTATGTCTTCCTGGTCTTCTCGGCCGTTGCTACAGCGAGTCGTGGATCTCATCTAAACTTGGGTGGTGTGGATACAGTTCTTCTAAGGAGCCAAGACAAAGTAGCAGCTGATAGGTAATGATAGTAGCCTCCATTTGCATCAATGGTTGGTTTCGTGGTGTAGTTGGTTTATCACGTCAGTCTAACACACTGAAGGTCCCCGGTTCGAGCCCGGGCGAAATCACATTGTTTTGATTTTTGTCACTCAGACACCGTGCTTCATTTTTCGCACTTGCTATCTATCATATTTACTCGGTATGAAACGAATGGCTAGTTCTGCTGCTTTTTTTCTTCTTCTCCGTGATCGGAGCAGCAAATAGGTCAATTAATCTGTAGCACTGCTCTGGTGGTCTGATAGCCGGATCTTAAACAGCAGTGCGTTTGGTGGGAGGTCATAGATGCAACCCGCAGGTATGATGGCATAGGTACCACAAGATCAGAAACCTTTTCGGTTCCGTGGCGTTGCTCAGCTATTCTTGTACACAATCCAGTGCTGGAGAGGTGGTGGCATCGTAATATTCCGGTCCATGGTACTGTGTGGCCGAAGCACCAGGTCAGGTAGGTCCCATCCGATTCTATCACACCTGCCCTACTATGACAATCGCAACACATTGATTACAAACGTGCAATGATGATAGAGTGTGATACTTGGTATATTCAAAGTAGTAAATGCGAAAAGTGGTATCAAATAATGCGTTATGCCAGCCCAAGATACCCCTCCATTCCACCTATGCATCGTATCCCAAATTGAGTGAGTAGAGTACCATCTGCATCCAAGCAGAGAAACACGCCCTCGTGTGATGTCCGAGCTCCAATTCCATGCAAAGTTGTAATGCGTCGTCAAGCCCGACTTTTCCGTTCTATATGCTATCGTAAAAATGCTGTCGTGGGATGGTTGGAGGTTGTCAACGGTAACAACTGCCATAACACCCAGACAGATGAATGGCCATCAACCCCATGAATGAAGAGGATAAGAAAACACAGCCAGTCAATCCATTACGGGCTGCCAGACTGTCCCCCACGAATCCCCAGAAAGAAACCCACTATCACCACCACAAGTCACAATAGCCGGAGAAGCGATATGAACCGGACAGAGTGTCTCGTAAGCCACCAGGGTGGGCGCTGAAACTCGCTTGTTCCGCCGAGCCTGGGGGACTCATTGATTTTCGTTGGGGGTGCTTGCGACGAATGTCGCGCTCACATGGCACAGCCAGGTGAGCGACACAACTGGCTTATCGTAATTGGTACACGAGCTGCAATGAAGGCGAAAACCCCGCACGGGGTTCGCATTGCATTGCATTCTCGTTCCCAATCCGGGGAACCCCCACCCCCCGAGATAAAAAGGGACCAAGGCTGTACGGTATCCGAACTGCGTAATATCCTTCCACATTGGGATGTGCTGCGAAGTCGGAGACTTGCAGGCGTGCTGATTTGATATCGGTAAAATGCAGTCAGCGTTCCTCTGGTGTAAGCTGCATTCACTGTTGCGGGCACCCGCTGAGGAAGACCTGTCTCCTGTGGCTCACATGACTGCGAACTGACGGAGATCCCGTGGGCTCGGGTACCACTGAGATCACCCCAATCGCCAAGGTCCAGAGCCGCGCGGGACCATAAGCTGAACATCAGCGACCTGCAATCATAGGTGTAACCAGCTCGATGCTCTTTGGCCTTGAGTAAGTCCCTGGTCGCCGTGAAGGGAGAGGCCGCTCCATGTCGTAGCCAGCTGATGTTCCATATCCGTTGGCGTAGTAGCCTCCATCATAGGTAGAAGGAAATACGCCGGAAACAGGCCTTGTGTACGAGTTGCTGGGGCTTGTTGCCGCACTCCGCGTGAAAGGCCAAATGCTCGGTTGATAGTTGCTGCTCGGTGAAGGCGGACTAGGCGGCCGGATCGTGAGTGACCGTAAAGCTGAGATAGCGGATGTATGACTCGCTTCGTTGGGCGTGGCTGGCGGTGAGTAATTAGACGGACTTGGCCTTGACGGCGAAGCACGAGGGATAATGTCCCTTGGTTCCGGATGTCCAGCAGCGTAGAAAGGGTAGTGTGTTGTCAGACTACCCGAGTGACGACTCGGGTAGATAGCTGCAGGAGTGGTGTTCTCCTGATCATACGCGCGACACCTGGACCGAAAGTACCGCATTAGCAAACTGCACACAAGCCTTTGCGTCATGCTTCTGCTCGCCGATGTGAACTTACTCTTCGGAGCAGTACAGTACACGCTCGTCTTGAGTTGCAAATTGCTTCTCACACGTCATGCTAGATGCAATTTGTCAGTACAAGTTCTGTATAAGGTGCATAGCATGCCACCAGGAATTTAGGGTTCAGGAGATATGCAAGAACGGCTGAGGCTGTGACGAGGGCAAGCTCGTCACAGGGGTAAAACAGGGAGCTCTCTCGTTGATACAATAGATGCAAGCCACCTGTAGACCAGGTGACGTTACGGAAGGACAGAACAGGAAATTCTAAGGGAGGGGTTGTCTAGGCGGACAAGCTGTCGCCCATAGCGTTCTTGGGCGAGCTTTGAAAGCAAAAGCCGAGCAAACCATGTGTAATATCAATGCCAGAAGAGGGGAACGTTTCACATACCAAAATTGGGGGAAGCTTTCCCTCTCATCTTCCCACCAGCGCTCGTCGTCCCATTCTCGCTCCCTGTCCCTCGGGCTCTTGCCTAGCTTCTGAGCCGCCTTGTCCGTGGTCCGTCTAGTCATAGGAGCTGGCCTCGAGGCCTTGCTACTATACTTTGCCGAGAGTTCGGACAAAGTGACGGCTTTCCGCACATCCGTCATAGAAGTGTTGGCAGAAGCATGCCCGGATCTTCGGCGTTGGTGGTGCATGGAGAGCGGGTTGGACTGGTGCTAAATGCAAGGATCCTTGACCTGGAAAACGTGGGGAGACGACCTATGAAGCGGGGTCCGACACGCTGTGACTGAAGCACTGCGCGTGTTCCGTGCTCGATGCTCGCAAAGACGGGTCTCCCTATCCTCCTCAACTCGGCAGAAAGGTGTGTTGGTGAGATGGTAGTAATTGATAGCCTTGATGACTGCTCTCTGTTCTCAACCCTTACGTTCGGTGGATATGTACGCAAGCCGATGAGAAGGAGAGTGCTGAAATTGTAGGTAGTGCCGGTCCAGATTGCTTGGGGGTCGTGCTGCAATGGGATAGCGAATGATATAGTACAGCAAGCAAAGACGGACACCAGTTGTGAGACTGAAGGTCAATGATTACTAGTGACGTCGAAGGCCGTGCCGCGGTAGCCAGAGAGAACCACAGTAAGGTATCTTTGATGTTGAACGGTGATGATGGAGCTGGAAAGGGAGAGTCAAGGGAACTTGGAGGGCAGACAATCGAGTATTATAATCTGATATGGATACGGATTCTGTATTAGATGGAGTACCCCCAATCTGCACGGCAGCCATCCAGGTTATGTATCGTAGCAACGATGACTCCTTCGCTACTGGCGTGATTTGGGTCGAGTCTGATGAGCGAACAGTCCCTCGTTCCTGGACCCATTCTGAACGCAGTACCGGGGTACGTACCCTGGTACTGCCAGAGTCAAGTGGGATGTATCCTGGTGATCAAGCCGAAAGCGGAGATCAGTCGCATGGATCATTTGAACCAATGACTTTCCACCATCCGGTCCATGCCTTCTACTCTAGCACTCTCTGGCGCCACAAATACAAGCAGCGGTACCTCGAAGCTGAGACCCGGACTTGCTGGGGTACTTGGAGCTCTCTATACATAGCCGCCAGTAAGTCGTGGATTTGAGCGTATTTCTCAAGGGGCGGAACGGGCTTATCGACCGCCTCTTTAGAAAATTTTGCAAAAGGATGACTGTAATGCCCTACGAGAGAATATGGCTGAAGCAAATGGTAGGAGGCAACAGAGGATTTCCGATCCAGCTTCGGAATTTCACACACACACACACACACGAACTCTGATGCATGGCGACCTCACACTGCGTTCAGACGAGAGCGGGCAGGCGGGGTTGGATCGGTTGCTGGGCGTGCCTTTCTCACTACACGTGTAGAACAGTAGGTTGTTAACCACCAGAAGGTACATTGCTCCACGAGCATTGGAGATTCCTCAACTTTGTTCATAATCCCACAAAATCGCGATATCCCTTGCTGTCATTCAGCCGGCAGTATTGCAAAGGCAAAGCTTGGGGATACGTGCCAGAGACTGCAGATTACGTATGAGTGGAAGCAGGTGTACGACCTCCAAGAACCTCCGCCTCAACGCACTCTCACACCATCAATCACACCGAGCACGAACAGTTGCTCAGCACGTCTTACCTCAGGTTGCCATCGCCAACCGTGACATGTCTCCAAGCCTGCACAGTACGTACCACTGTCTCGGCGTCCTGCTGACACTGGCAACAACCTGAAAAGCTTCGTAATGAGCACCTTTGTGTGAATTCCTGCCCAGCCGGGTGACAGTAACATGGACACCTTGTTGGCCCGCACCTTTTCGGCCCCAAGGCTCTCAATGCATACCACATGGCGCAATGTGAGGATCTAAAGTGTCCCGGTCAAGTACTTCACTTTCCATCTAGACGTCCACCCCGGACACGAACGACTAAACAATTTTCGAGGACTTCAGTGTCCACTTCTGCACAACTTTATGATGCCCTGGCTTCTCCAGAGCTCGTGGCCCCGCCTTTCCTCAGTTCCTTTCCGCACGTGTGGCCATTATTGGAGCCTAAGATAGAGAACAGCGCTGGAGCCGTCATCTTGTGTGTACAATGAGTGTTGACGTACGCACCGCGTGGATGTGTATTCGTACAGCGGTCGCTTGAAAACCCCGTGTCCGATCCCTTTTTTTTTATTTCTCGGCAAAATGCACCCGCTACGGTTGGAGGTCGGTTACAACCATTCTGGTCCAATCCCATACATGGCCTGTTCTGCTGCTTGCAAGTTGCTGCCTTTTACAGTCGCTAAGAGACCAAACTCATTAAGTTGACCTCTTCTCGACCAGGCCATTGGATGTCACATATCACATCGATATATGTTGCAGGAATGTGATGGGAACGCATTGCAGTTCCGAGAACGAGCACTTCATCTTCGAACCGTTCGTGGGCCGTTGACAGCGCTCGGCAGCTTCTCGAACTGCTTATGCGTGGGGGTTTGCAGCACGGCACCAAACATGCCCGAGGCCTGGCATTCCCTGGATCCGAGTGGGAGGATGTGTGGTGTGAACCACTTCAAGTGCGACTCTACCATAGTATAGTTGAGGATATGCCTTTTGCTCGACAAAACCCATGTGTGCCAGCCAGCTGCAGCGGGAAAGCTCTGCGACCTACCACCACCTCACTCGCGGAGATAATACTCCCACGATAATATTTACAGCCTATTCAGCTGGTCCACGTCGTGCCCCTGCTAGGATGAGACGCTCGCTGCCTGTGACATTGAGGACGGCGACCATGTCGCTTTGGCGTTACCTGGATTCCACCTTTGCCTATATTGGGCTTCCCCGCCATGACCTCGGCATGCCTATTTCGACACTGAAGCTGCAACACTCCATCCCACGCTGCAAAAGTAGCTTGGCTACCCGCCTTGAACAGAGGTGGGATGACACGGCTCAGCAAGGTCGAGGTCGAACGTCACGTCTGCACCTCAGGCAGGGCCAGGTCTCCGATACGACATCGCAACCATGAGAGGCATGGAGTTTGAGACGCCAAGGCATATATGCACGACATATCTTATCCTTGTCCTTTACGCAGAGCGCGAGCGTCCCGACTTTGGCCGCAGAGAGACCTGAGAGCCAGAGAAGCAACGAAAACGAGCCGGAGTCTTGGTGAACCTGTAGCTTCACCGTCAAGCAAGGTTCTCACAGGGTGCTGCGAAGAGTAGGTCGCGCATTCTAGCGGCAGTCTATTCAGGCAGGTATTTCTCGTTTCGTATTCTTCCCCACCTAATATATCCCATATTGTCTTGTACTACATAGCTGCGCAGCATCGCGCCGGCAACGCTCTCTCGGTGAGAAGTGTTGACAGTATCTTGCTGTCCCTGAAGGTTCTCCGATATGCGGACCAGACGGCTTGAACTCCTATCTCATTCATCATGGCATTCCGGATAGACTCGGTTGCTGAAGGCTCATTGCGGGGTGCCGTCCATTGGACCCTGGGCTAGAGCAACACCGTCTTTCATGCAAGATAAGGATGGATAAGTTTTTGCCATGGCACTTCTTTAGCTCTATCGAGCGCTGCGTTCCTCTGCAGGTACGACCGAGTCCGGACGCCATCTAATAAAGGCAAGGAGGGTGGGGGTAGTCCTTATCAAGATGCAACGAAGATCTGGCTGGAAGGGCAGTCGGTCGAAAACACCGAATCCGCAACGGCCCTGGGGGTCGATGGTGAGCGGGCCGGCCTCTACACACAACGGGCGTCGATCCACTGCGGACCGGAATGCGGGATGCGGAATTGGTCGCTAGATCTATGCATTGATAGTACCCGGGGACTAATGAGGCTACTGCATGCTATCAGATTGTTTACCACCGACTAAATGAGGGAGGTGAGGGCATAGGAAAGTCGCGACCTGACACCAACTCAGCGACGCCTCGCACCCGCCGCACCCAAGGTTTGATATGAAAGGCTCCGGCATCGCTCTGGGCGTTCCTCTCGGCGCATCGTGAGATTGGAGTTCAACCCAGTCAAGATCTGCTACCCGATGCTCGCCGTGTTACGGGAGATGTGCTCAGTATGGCGGCGATGTCGCTTCGTTCACACCTTGAATATCTCAAATGTTGATGACTCACACCTGTGTGTGCCGACGGTGTGGAACTAGAAAATCTTGGCCGCCATCTCAGCAGTGTGTCGAATGATTATGTGAGAACTCAGACGACATTTTCTCAAAATTCGCAAACCTTGACGTTTATGACTGACGAATCATCCAAGCACCCAGCACAAAATCTCTGTCACGATTATGTGGAGGTGCCCCCATAGCATTCGGTCCGTGTGGGAAACCACGAAAGACTCACCTTACAAGGCTATGGCGTGTTTGGGCCGGGCCGGCAACGCCATCTCGTGCCGAAAGCAAAACATCTTCCTGCCGCGACTGACTTACCGGTAGTGCCAATGTCACTGGCCTTCAAGGATGGATCTTCTAGAGAACAGGTTCCGTGGTCAAGTCTACTCCCCGATACAACCCGTGTTCGATTCACGGCGGGGCCAGCTCAGAACTTATAACAGTTTATCAGTTTTTTTTTTTGTTTTTAACTCGTTCAATTTTTGGGAATTCCTGCTTTTCTTGCTGCGTCGACTGCGCCGTGTCACTGTTTCCGCCCTTGATCATCGGGGCCGACCAATGTGGGTGGGATATACCGGTAGTAACGGGGCTCGCCATTATGAAAGTATGCAATGGCTATGACAGTTGGGATACCAGATCTACGAACGCAAGCATATCACCAGGATAGTGACAGCCACGACTGACGAAGCGAGAGAACGCCTGTCGGCCTCTTGTTGCTACCCGCACAGTCCCGCCCTTAGCCAGCGTCGGTTTAGGGTATGATTGCGCGAGTCAGGCACAACGGGCATGAAGCTCATCTCCCCCATACCACCCCGGCGACGATACATGTAGTATCCGATGACACGAGTCAGACACGCCGGGGATGTAGCTCATCTGGTAGAGCGCGCGCTTCGCATACACTCGATTGAGCGATCGATCAGTGACAACCTGTCTGCGCGAGGTACAGGGTTCGATTCCCTGCTTCTCCAACAGTGTAGAGCACTTCGTTCTGTGGTTCGTTTTGCTGCCCTGCATGAGCAGGGAAGAGGGTGGCCACGACCCTTTTTTGCTGTGCTTATAGGGTGATCATCGGGCTCGCAGTGACACGTAGAGAGCTGTGACAGGCTATCGCATAGACGACGGTGTCATATATATTGGGTTTGGCCATGCAATTCGTGAAGGATGAGCATCCAGGGTGAAAGGGGTATCTATATCAAGGAGAAAAACCGAAACCTGCTTTTCCACGACCTCCATCACACCGCAGCTGCCGTCGGCCATCAGCCTTAGCAACGTCGCTGAGGCTTAACCCTATAGTAAAGGACGCGAAGCAGTAATGGATCAACATGAAGCGCTTATTGAAAAGGGTGAATGAAGCTTAAAGATGTTAGTAAATTACCGTGTCCTCCTCCGCCTCAACCATCACATAGCCAGGGTCATCGTGGTCCTTGTCATGGTTGGCCTTCTCGTGGGTCTTCTCGTGACTTGATGTCGGACGAGCCGACTTCGTCGAGGAAGACTGCGGCCGTGACTTATCGGGAGCTCGGCTGTTAGTATCTTCACTGGGTTCGGGCTCACCAACCGTAACCCCAAGCTCTCTGAGCCTCTTCTCTTTTCGGCGCTTGAACTGCTCTACCTCCTTATCTATGAGCTCCGTGGCGTCAAGTATCTGCTCCTTGAGCATGTTCTCCTGAGCCTCGGTGAGCTTCCAGGGGAGGTAGAACTGCAGTGTGTCAGTAAAACATCCAGCTACGCTTCAATAGGGGCAAAACTCACGAGTTTAGGTTCGCATTTCGTCGAGAGACTATGTGCATGCGCCATCATGGTCTTATGTCGAGTTTGCATCTGCAACATATCATGTTAGCAAGGCACTCCCTCCTTCCATCCGATGGGCTATCTGCAAACTCACCACCTGCTCGTCAAACTTGATCTGCTCGATCTTGCGCACGTGGTTCAGCTTGGCTAGCTTCTCGACCCTCCGCTTGTCATCCTCGGCCCGTTGCTGTTGCGCCCGCTCTTGTTGCCGACGCTCAATCTCCTGCCGCTTCTTCTGCTGCGAGTTGGCCGGCTTCTGACTCAACGTACTAAGCAGGCCGCCGAACAGACGCTGGCCGCGCTTCTTCTCTTGTTCACTGATGCTCTTCCGCCCCCGATCTGGGCCTGGTCCTGGGGCTTGTCTTGGTTCGGCAGTTGGTAATGAGGGCCGGCGCGATAGGGTTGGTGATCTTGATGGTCTTGGTGAAGCTGCGCGAGGAGCTGCTGGAGACAGGTCTACTTGCTCTTGTTTGGGAGGCTCCTGTTTTGACTCTTCTTGTACCTCAGCTTTCTTGTCCATAGTATCATCTTCCTGGGTCGGCGTCGGCTCCGGTTCTTGTGCCGTTCCATTTTCAGTCCGTGTGGCGTCGGCGTTGGGCTCGTCTAGCTTCAATCGCTTTGGTGACGCAGCTGTCTCGTTCTCATGATCACTATCAACTGATGCTTTCCGCTTGTTCGACTGCTGATCGGCCATTGGTGTATCGGTCGGGGCCGCTGTTGGCCTGGAGGGAAATGATTAATTGACCGTTTCGAATGCTGTGGAAGACGGCTTACTCTTCGTCCGCCGACATTGTCACGGGAGTATTGAAGGGACGCAGTGAGATATCTGATATTGTTCAGATGTGTCTCTAGGAACCTGCGCTGTTTCCAAAGATCAATATGTCAAGAATGTCAAGTACTTGACAAGAGTTATCGTTATCGAAACGTAGCCCGTCGATCGAAAGCTCGGGCAGGCTGAAGGTGCGATTAAGCGGCTATGTACCCATGTACCGCCTGTGATATGGCCCGCTTGGTGTTATCGCTTACTATGCAGTATGCATCTGCATAAAATAGTTAGCGCCAACGAGCCACGTGCTGCAAGGCTGCCCATGGAAATTTCCAGCTTGTCGTGGCAAGGCTGAGAAATCGAGTCTCTTCCTCCAGGAACACCACAATCGGCTATATCTCAACTCCCACAAGTCGCAACAACGAACACATTTCTCTCCAACAGATCGGCTCATTAACACTCGTCATAATAATCAGAGCTTTCAACCCACAATGTCTCGCCATCATCCGTAAGTCATTCTCCCTCCATCTCTCTCGTCAACTCCTTACTAACTCCCTCCAGCGATCTAGTAATGTGCCGCAAACAAGCCGGCATAGCCATCGGCCGCCTCTGCGACAAATGCGACGGCAAGTGTCCCGTTTGCGACAGCTACGTCCGTCCAACCACCCTCGTGCGCATATGCGATGAATGCAGCTTCGGCAATTACCAGAACAAGTGCGTCGTGTGCGGCGGCGAGGGCATCTCGGACGCCTTCTACTGCTTCGAGTGCACGCGGCTGGAAAAGGACAGGGATGGCTGTCCGAAGATCATAAATCTGGGATCTTCGAGAACGGATCTGTTTTACCAGAAGAAGACGAATCGGACGGGGCCATACTAGCGACGGGGTTGCCCGGGTGTGGGCTTGTTTATCTCTGTTTGTCTGCATTATCATGGGATTGGCGATAGCTTGGATCGTGTAGCGGAAAAGGCCTTGAGTTTATTGGCGTTTGAGGAGTTGATAGGGAGGATAACATGGCGGGATTTAGATCAAGTTATCAGCATGATGGTGAACCGAGGTTACGGTTAAACAGGATATCGAGATGTTCAAGGTTTTTTATGAAATGAGAAATTCACCTGATAAACATTACTCTTTGCAGCATGACCCATTGTCCGATGAACTGACGCTGCTAATCATACAAATACCACCATGCCAGCAAGTACTAGATATAACTGACCTTCACACCCATCCCGGCCGTGGCCTTGATCTTGCCCCAGCTGTTCCCCAAGAGTCTCGATATCCTTTCACGGATATTCTTCCGACTCAACATAAGCAACAAGCCAATAATGAACGCCAACGTTCGTATCAAAAGCATCGGGTTGCTCTGAAGCGAACCACCCAAGTGCTCAATCAGCGCCCGCACGTTGGACAGCACCATCGCTGCCCTACTCGCCAAAGAAGGCCGTGCCACCGCCTCCTTGCCTTTCTTAGAAGTTGAGGACAGCTTCGCCGTCGAACCGCTCCCTCCACTCCCCTTACCCCTCGCGTGCCTCTTCCCGTTGCCATTACTCCTACTGGACCCGGCCACACTAGGCGTGCCCTCAATACCGTAGTCAACCTCACTAGCCGCCGCCCGCCTCGCCCGTTCCTCCTCCAACCTCTTCCGCTCAATCGCCTCGTTCTCCGCCCTCAGCCGTCTGGCCTCCTCAAGATCGCGCCTCAGCTGCTCCTCCTGCCGCAGCTTCTCCTCCCTCTCCCGCCTCTCGCCCTCCTTCTGCTCCTCGTACAGGCTTTGCAGGGCTTGCAGGAACGCCTCTCGCCTCTCCTCGTCCAGCACGGAGCTCATGCTGATGAACTCGCGCGCGTAGTCCCACTCGTCGTTGCGCAGTAGGACGTGCAGCGTATACAGCTCGAGAATTTTCACCCGGGCGCTCAGATCGCGAGGCGTGGCGGCGCCGCTAGGGCCGGAGGCGCCCTTGCCCTTGGCCGGGGAGCGGTGACGGGCTGGCGACGCTTCGGCTGGCACCCCAAAACGGCCAGAGAGGTCAAGGTTGGGCGTGTTGGCTGCTGCGAGGTAGTTCTCTAGACGTTTTTGGTTGAGAGTCTGAGTGCGGGCATGGGCGAGAAGGAGGGTAGCGCTTGGTGTCGAGTCAGTAAGGGGTTGTATGAAGGGATAGAAAGTGGAAGAGGTCTTACAGGTTGATGACTACATCGGAGTCCACATCCCCCTCTACTCCGTGGTAGCCATTGCAGACTACTTCCTCCCAGACTTCGCCTTCGCGGACTTTGGAGACGAGGGCTCTCCATTCTTGTGTCCCGAAGGCGTCTTTGCCCTCGTCCGGATCCAGCTCGACTATCGCATTCAGGATGGTCAGGTAGAGACTCCAGACTTTGATCCTAGTGGTGCGGGACGCTTTGGCGACGGGTGCGGGCTCGGCTGTGGTGCCGGTTTCCTCTTCTGACGGTGGTGTGATTAGAGGTAGGATGGTTGACAAGGCCTCGGGCAGCCGACGCGTTAGGAACAGCGTGGACGCCTGCCTGTATGTCTTGGATATGTGTGACGAGGAATTCCTGGCTGAGGATATGGATGAAGATAGCGATGACATGGAGGCCGACATGATATGGGACGAAGAAGAGAGGTTGTCAGCGAGGGTTGGACTAAAGCCGGAGTGCGAGCCGTTCGAGGTTGCCATTGTTTATGATTGACCCGGCGGGCGGAGATTGTCTATATGCACTTTAGAGGTCAGGGGAGAGCCAAGGATGGTTTGTTATTTCCAAGACATGGTCATCGCGAATGGAGAGGTGGAATCTCCGGATGTCGTGTTGACGCGTGCGATGTTCAAATGCCAGTGAGCATGTGCTTGCTGTGCTAAAGTCTCTGGATCCATTTCGGTGATTGTAGCTGCCATTTGCCTCGGCACTTTCGGCGGGCATAAGTGCAGGGGCTCGCTAGCTCCCTTGCACAATATTATGCGGGACAGACTGCTGATAGTCCAGTACGTGTATTTTGCACAGTATTCCGTACATAAAGAAGTAGTTCACTATCTCAGACGGTAACGAACTTCCCCAGATTATTAGGAGTGCGACCCGAGGAACGAAGGATGTTGCACGGTCAAGATCCTGTTCGAGAAGTTCGGCCGTTACCTGCATAGATTTACGTTGTTGAGTTATCGTCTGCATCACCATCATGGATCGCGATGTAACGACGTTCATGATGCCGCAGACACAGCATAAGGGGTATGACATTTCCCGCCTGAACCACACTGCTAGTAGTCCATCAACTTTCTAGATAACACCTTATTTAGCTTCTTGCTTTCCTTCGCCCCTTAAACGTCTTCAGCGGATCGCCTTTCCTTCCGCCGCCGCCCACCTTGAACCCCTTGGGCTTGAATTTGCCCTTCTTGAAGCTCTTCACTCTCTTATCCGGCTTGTTG